TGATTCTCCCTAATCACATTATCCAACACTATACTTAGCCAGTTCGACAACAATTTAGATAGGATTTTGTACATGACTTCTGTCAAAGAGATTGGTTGACCCTCCTCAATATTAATTGGATTCTCCACCTTCGACACCAACACCAAAAAATATGCATTCGATCCTTTCACTAATCTTCCATTTACCTAGAACTCTTACAAGAAAGCAACCACATCTCCTTTAATTGTTTCCCACATCGACTTTATGAATTTGAAGTTGAAACCATCAGGTCTTGGAGCTTTTGAACTATCACATGCCCATACCGCTGCTTTAATCTTGTCCTCCTCAAAAAGTGCTATTAACATCGCATTTTGCTCTAGTGATAATTGGTTGAACTTAATATCATCCATTGTTGGCCTTTTCCACCCTTCGTCAACAAATAAATTTTCATAAAACTCTACTACTTTCTCTTTAATAACCTCCACCTCTGGGCATTAACTACCATAAACCATTATGCTCATTATCTCATTTTTCCTTTGCTTGTTTCTTACACATCTATGAAAGAAAGTAGTGTTCACATCCCCCTTCCTTCAACCAATTTTTTTGGGCTTTCTATTGGTACATCCTTTCCTTTATTTGCAAGTACTTCTATAGTTGCTGTACATTTTCTCTTCTACTTGCCACCTCCTTTTCATTCAATTGCTGGCTTTCACTTTTTAAGTCCAAGGTTTGAATTATTTCTTCTGCTTTTACAATGGTTTGATCGACTTTCGTTACAAAGCCACTACTCTAGCTCTTTAATGCCTTTTTAGTTTGTTTCAACTTCTCTTTTAAGCAAAAACCCATCCATCCTTCCACCTGTGTCATTTCACGTCTTTTGCACAACTTCCTTAAAATCAAGCTTTTCCAACTAGGCATCAAAGAACCTGAATCTTCTAGGCCTCCAATCTTGTTTCTGCACCTTCAATAATACAAGACAATGGTATGACACCTTGCATTTCGATCCCTACTGCTTAACTTCACTGTAGTTCATCAACCATTCCTCTGACAAAAGGAATCTATCTAGTCTGCTCATTGATTTACCATTTGAGTGATTCCATGTAAACTTTCTTCCCAC